CTACTACTACTTTATTTAAACACGGAGACACTTGAATCACCCATGGGTGTTTTTCATCAAGGCCGTTCAAGGCCATACATAATCAGAAAAGAAAAAATTATCGATAACAAAATATTCGTCAATGTTTTACATTATACATTATAAAAGTACAAGTGTAATCAATATTCTTAATACTATGAAATGGAACATTCTACACATGATCGACGTTAATAAATGACTCGTGCACACAACATAACAATGGCATTTGTGGTGTGACAACCATCGGCATAGTAACATGGGTACGGGAACCAGTATACAGAGTTTCTGTCTGGCCATTTTGCAAATGTGAGTCCGAAGTAGGCCTACATTCAGTCGGGGTATCTTCAAGGGTCCGAAATGGCATCTGATCGAACCTAGGGACAGAGACTTGGTGGGTTCTAATTAGGCAAACCTCTTAATGCTTATACATTCTGAGATTTGTTTTTTAAGAGATACGGCATTGTCACGTGCAGAAATATCTATAAAAGCTTCGAAAAAAATAATATTCAAGTGTATTGAGATCAAAATATTGTCAAGTCATATATTTTAATTTCGATTAGGGCCTCACTGGGCATTTCATGAGTTCCTGATAAAGAATGATATCAACAATAGAACAATTATCCACCTGCTTGTAGTGAAGTAAATCTAAAGTGTATTCATAATGTTAAATATCGGTTAGTTGCTGTCGACTTTTAATGAGTAGTATGACACAGTTCCTTTTAGTTCACTGCAAACTTTTATTCACACAGACAGTACGTTGGTTACAATCAGCTAAACTCCAGGTCTCAGATGTTAGAGAACCCTTTTAGAGTGGAGTCAGCTCAGCACTGTACATTCTTTTGTGTTGAATTTAACTACTGATTACTGGTTACTGACTACTGATTACTGATTACTGGTTACTGACTCAGTGATATGGGGGTGTTTGACTATTATACTTTAGGTAATGGGGGTGTGTCTCAAGTAAGTCACCCCATACTTTTAGAGTTTCTGATTGGATCATAGAGAAATTCTTTCTCTATGATTTAGTAACTTGTTTACCAAAAAACTGCTAATTAAGATGTATCACAAACTTCAGAGCTTAGGCTCAAAACTGACAATCATAGATTCATAGTGTGAGAAAGGCCAAGTCCAACTGGCTAGGGTAAAGTTATACAAAGTCCAGTTATATTATTAGATTATCTGTATACTCAAGTTGACCATTAAAACTGTCAAACCAATTTAAGGCATTTATCAGGTGAAGGGTATCGATTCCAATGGTTATGCAAGTTAATACCATCGAACCTTAATACTACATTACAATAAGGTATGATCACTTGACGTGATTCAAAAACGTGAACAATATAGTTGAAAAAACTTTTAAAATACCAAAATAAAAACCTGCATTGCCGATATTTCAATTGCTTTAGAAATATTAAATTGTCTTTTGAAAAATATGTTAGTACATCCTATCGTGCTACGTAGCTGTTCATGAAAAAAAGCTTAAAAGTCATCCTACTTGCAGTGTTTGTTGTAATGAACTTATCAATAATACTGGCCTCTAAACCTAATAGCCTATCATTCAGGGGGCCTTTTTTATGTAGATAAATAAATAATAAATAAAATAATAATAAATTTATGTAGGAATTTAGTTAGGCCTATATATATTTGTGGAACTATTGAACGGGCCCCAACAATAACCCCGGGACTCAGTGCTTTCCACTGCCCATACCTTCGCCACTGATGACATATGCTTTGGGTCGCCAAAGAATAGTATAAGTGGGTCGCTACCTAAAAAAGTTTGAGAAACAGAGAACCTTTGCGTGATAACAAATATTGAACCGGGGTTTTTTTTTTCGTGACCCAACACAAAAGCTTGGCAACCATTTTTGCGTCACGACCTATTGTCTGTGAAGATATTTTAATTGCTTTTAGAATACGTTTTAAAGGAATTATTTATGCAGTAGTACCGTGGCAAGAAGCCTACCTTCGTTACTGACGAAATAGCATTGCATGAATTCAAAGTACAAGCGAAGCTGATCATGTGACTAAAAGAGAAATCTGCCAAAACATGTTGCTTGCAGTAAAGCAGATCTGACACGTATTCATGGTGTATGCCAATACAATAGTATTAATCTCCAATGATAAAAGAAAATCTGAACAATGTCAAACAGAAACGTACTTGTACATTTTTTTTATATATTTAAATTGCAACGTACTTTGACAACTTGAGCGGAAGAGTACTTTGGCCTAATCACAAAAAAAAAAAAAAAAAAAAAAAAAAAAAAAAAAACAAAAAAAAAAAAAAAACTTGAACTGGAAGAAATAGAGGCTGTTGTTAAGCTGATTTCTTGTGTGGAAAAGAAA